TAAAGGTTACAGGTGGGGGCCTGGCATGATGGTCTAGCAGTTAAACTCCTTGCCTTGCTTGCACCAGGATCCCATATGGCTGCCAGTTCTAATCCCGGAAGCCCCACTTTCCATCCAGCTCCCTGCTTGTGATCTGGGAAAGCAGTTGAGGACAGCCCAATGCCTTGGGATCCTGCACCTGCAGGAGAGACTCCTGGCTTGGGATCAACATAACTCCGGCTGTTTTGGCCACTTGGGGAGTGAACTATCAGACAGAAGATCCTCCTCTCTGTCTCTACTCCTGTCCATATATCTGACTTTCCAATAAAAATAAACTAAACCTCTAAATAAATAGAGGGAGGGAGAGAAGGAAGGAGTAAGTTAGGTTGCTTGGTTGGTTACAGGTGGCCCAGTAGAGTGGCATAGTGTATTGAGTTGCCACTTGTGATGCCAGTATCCCATACCAGAGCAGCTTTGTTTCAGCAGACTTCTGCTGGGGTCCGTGTGATGGATGTGGAAGACAGGAAGGTGTGAACAGTATCGTTCCTTTGCAGGCAAGGCCGCAAGGAATGTCCCACTGTGTGGCAAGGCCCGGTGGATGTCTCTACAACACCTGAATGCAGCTCTGCCTCCCTTTGCATGGACACCGGACAACCCCGCTGAGAATTCTGTAATCTATTTAGGCATTGTCTGCCTCTGCGGAGTTACTGTTAAATATCAATGGGAGCTTAGAAGCTGATGTTGCTGTTGCCAGTTTTTTAGCCAAAAAGCTGTTATTGCTGTTACAGCTGCATCCTGTGGCAATATGCTAATCAAGGGTGCTAATTCCCCTTTTGATCCTATGCTAATCAAGGGTGTTCTGTCTTCAGGTGTAGTGAGAATCTATTCTTTCCCTCTTTCTTTGATCTTTTAGGTCCCTTCCTTCCTTGACTGTCTCAAGACCAAGCTGTAAAGTAATTGTGGTAGAAATGTGTTAGTGATTGATATGCACCATCTATTGAGTACTTTTTCCTAGCCAGGCGCCAGGTGCCAGGCACCATGTGAATAACATCCTAGCCTTAGGTGAAACAAATGGCAGAGTTATCTTTAGAAACACCCACTTGACCATGACGTAAAAGGTCTGAGCCAGAGTTTGACTGATTTTATATAAATAAAGCGGACAGCTTTTGTGCGTGGTCCATTATGATGATCAAGAGTTCCTAGTGGTCCGTCTCTTTCTTTGCGCCTCATCCACGCACCCTTCGCGAGTTCTGAACTCAGCTGGAGCTGGACTCCGGCAGACTTCCAACCCAGCTCCCTGGTAATGCTCCTGTGAAAGCAGCAAAGATGGTCCAAGTGCTTAGGAGACCTGGGAGAACACTCCTGGCTACTGGCTTCAGCCTAGTCCAGCCCCTGTGGCCATCTGGAGAATGAACCAGTGGGTAGAAGAAACTCCCCCAACCCTGTCTCCCTTCTTCCCTGTCGAACAACTCATTCAAATAAATCAACCTTAAAAAAATGCATCAGGCCAAATAAAAGACTTTAGGTTCAAAAAGCTTTGTGATTATAGAGGAAAAACTAATAGACAAGTATTCAAAGACTGAGATCTTCACCTACATTCTGGACAGCAGCAGGTATTATTATAACCCCTTGGATCCATTTTTCAACCTTCAGCAAAAGCCAGAAGGGGTTCATACTCTTCTAACAGTACCTTACTTTCAGAAGCTAACCTATCAAAATAACCTGAAAAATCGTGTAGCATAAAAAGATGCTGGTGAATATCTTGCCATGAAATGTTCTTATCCTGTTATATCCTTTCTTTCACAGTTTGCTCTTTTTTCCTCAGAAGTCCTTTTCTTTCCTTTACACCTCTCTTCAATAAGCCCTGCGTCTTCATTAACTCTTAGGCGAGCACGATAAAGACTCTGGGAATATAGTTTTAACTGCTCAAAGTCAATCTGTATTTACTTCAAATTCTTATAGGGAAAAATATGTCTCTGTCGTATTTACTGGACACAGATCACACAAAACATCTCTAGACAGTTACATAACTAACCACATCTAGTGCAGGAATGAGGAAAATGGTTGGAAATAACAAGTTTTGAAAAATTTTTAATATGGATAATTGAAGACCTGAAAAGACACTAGTTTAGATCTTCACTAAGGGACTTTGAATTCATTAACAAGTGATTTAATGAGATGTTTTTAGTAACAGAGAAGTGAACAGATGACTGAAATCAGAATGGATACTGCCTGTCCTACTCAGCTAGCAGCATTGCTGCAGCATCACTGGACATTCTCTAGTCATCTATTACTCTGCTACATTTTTAAGAGATGGACTTTCCCATACTTCTATATGTGAAAGTCAGCAACTATATAATCCAAGTGTCAATGTATAGACACATAAAAGAAACCAAACTTTCTAGCAGAAACTTTTGTTTTGATGAATCTAGTACCTTCATCCTCGTGTACACTAATGTTCATATGGACACAAGAATTGCAAGGATAATACAGGGAGTGGTTATATAACCTGTACTGCCCTAGTTTTGTCTATTGCTTACATGTTGTATTACTAATGCACATTTGTTACAACTAAAGAACACTGGCGCCCTATTACTGACTAAACTCTGTAGTTTCAGATTTCATGGCTTTTTTTTTTTCCTCCTGATATCCCTCTTCGATTCCAGGATACCACGCAGGGTCCTCCATTATTTAGTCACCAAGTCTCCTTAGATTCCCCCTGACTGTGACGGTTTCTTGAACTTGTTTTTGACGGCCTAGGAAGTTTTGAGGAGTACTGTCAGGGACTTTGCTGTACATCTTTCAATTTGGGATTGCGGGACCAGAGAATGAAGACCAGCCAGTCTTACCACAGCATCATCAATGACTTACAGAATATATTCAAGAATATCTGATCAAGGTACTATCTGTCTGCAGGTTTCTCTGCTGTCAAGCTCCACCCATGTCTTTTCAGTACTCTGCAGCCCCCATGTAATGGATGAGTGGGGAAAATATACACCTTCTTTGATGGAAGTAGCTATGCACATCAATCATTTGTAGAATTCTTCTGTATTTGAAATATGTCTCTTCTCCACCATTTATTTATTCATAAAATCACTTATCAGTATGAATTCACGAATAATTATTTTGTAGTTTGAATTACCAGTATAATATTAAGTAATTTACTGCTTACTAGCTCTAGTAGTTCCATATTTGGCCTTTGAGAGTTCTCTCAAGTTGGTTCCTAAGTTCCTTCCAGATGCCTTTATTCTTTCATTTTTTGAGCATTTCCAAACTTTAATATGTATGTAACTTTGAATAAGCTGTTCTAAAACAATTTCTTCATTTGGTTAGCTGCAATTCCAAAACTCACACCGCATATGTTCGTTTACTTGGAAGTCTTAGCATATGCCTGTAACAGTCACTTTCTAATACTAAACTTCTCATATGCACTGCTTTCTTATTTTCAGATATAGGAATGGCAGGAATGAGAGAAAAGCAGGAATATGGATTACATTTTTCAATTTAAGGGTCCAACGTCAAAGCATTCTTGCCTCTAGCCGTACAGAAATCAAATTCTCATTTTGATCGGGGCTGTTTCAAATCTTAAGAGAACTACCCTTAAGTAACAAGTTGTTTTGTTTGCATACACACTCTTTTTTTTGTCTTTTTACTTCCATTTGCTCCATAAACCTTACATAACAAGCTGAACTTCACAACTGGCCCCCTAAAATGAATCAGACAACTATCAATTCAAATCTCTTCTTAAAGAATAATGCCTTTATATGGAAGAATACCACTGGAACGTACATAATAAAATGTTAGTTTCCTGCTACTAGCTTTAGATACACAGCTATTTCCCTACAGACCATCAAGATGTTCCTTTACCACTGTTGACCTCTAGAGGGAGCTCAAAGTTCTCATTAATTTTCACAAGGGTCAGGACATTCCTACAAAGTGTTATATTCAAGATTTAAGGTTTTGTTGTATCCCCCCCCCCCCGCCCCCCGAAGAGCAAGTTAGATTTGTGCTGTCGCTTTAGGAGCCGCTTCCTTCTCAGAAGTGAATAAGGCTCTAGGGAGTGGCCTCAACCATTTCTTCCTTTGGCTTCAAATGCATCCCTATTACTTTCTTCACTCTTTTTCCCCACTTGGCACTGACTAGGACATACTTCTGTAGCCTGAGAGGTCAAAGGAAGGAGAGCAGCAGGCACTGATCAGGGGCAAATTTCATGGCTACTCTATTACTTTTAGTGTGGCAGCATGGCACACACGGAATAAAGTACCCATGTGGCACACTATAATGTTAAGATGAAGCTGTTCGTGTAGTCCAGGGAACCCCAGTCACCATGTTCCTATTCTAGAACTCATTCTCAAGGGCTGGGAGCGACATATCAATTTTAGCAGCTTATAAGACATTTTAAGGGCCATATTTGCAATAGGAAACTTGAACAGGAAATGGTAAAAGCTCTAATGGTCAAATCCCGACTATACCATTATTTGTATGACCCTGGAAGAAGCAACTAAGCCAGCACTGTTAAGCCTCAGCTGCCTCATCTTTAAAATCTTGCCTCACAGAGCGGCACTGATGGTTAAACAAGCAGTAAATGCAAAGAAATGAATCTTGTCTGAGACTGCCATCTGATCTTTTGGTGCAGAAGTAGAAACAAGCTTTCCAGGTTATTCCAATTACTTTAGGTTAAAAAGCAAAAAAATTTCAAATTATCCAGCTCAATGGAATCTGAACTCACAAATGCTCCAATGGCCTTGCTATGCGGCCTCTGTGCTGTGTATAAATTCATAGTAGAAAGAATCCGGATTGGTCAAGAATAGCACTTCTGTGCTCCTCTGCCTTTTGGTCAAATACTACCTCAATTCACTGTGATTTCCAACAACCAGATTATGGAAAGATCTGCATGGAAAACAAAAAGAGCTACCAGTCTTTGTAATGACCTTTCCTCAACCCCTGTCAAGTGAACAGGAACATGTTATATGATAAGCTCTACAAAGACCACTGGCTGTTGATGCTCACAGAAAACCTACATTGTAATGTTGCCATTAGAGTCAAGGTCCATAGGGTAATTTCCAGAGATGTGTTCTGGAACCAGTCTCCCTTCTTTATAACTTGTTCCTGGATAATCTGATATCATGTTTGGATAAAATGGAATGGAATCATACCCTCCTGCAACAAAGAACAGAAAGATAAACAGTTGCTAATGCAGTTAGTCTACAGGTATGATCTTAACAGATAATAAGCCTTGGCACATAACTGTTACAAATGTTAGAGTCACAAATTGAGCATTCTAAACCTAAAGTTAGTTATTATCTTTATTAGATGTTCACTAGTATTAATAGGCTTATAATTAATTTCAGAAAGCTCCTCATTTAGTTGCTTTACCAAATTTAGCACAAGCTGTATCTAATGGAGACTATACAAACAAGCAGTGCTGTACAAAGCTCCTACATCTACACCTTATTAAGATATTTACAAAATGAGAATGGCTATATGACTATCAACATCTGCCTAAAATCTTTATAAATTATACTTAAGATTATACTGTGGAAACAGGTCATTGTCCATCTATCTTGGAGAGGGGGGGAAAAATCACACTGAACTCAAATTTGTATTCTGACAAATTCTCCAGCCCACAAGAAGTTGGATACAAAGAATATTTAGACAAAAAGGGTAAAGACACCTTTTAGGTATGCAACAAAAATTTTTATAGACTTTATTCTAATGGCAAAAGGAGTCCACTGTAAAGTCTTAACTAAGGCTAATCAATTGCATGGTGTCTTACATTACTCAAAGTGAAGATGACTGAAAAATGGGAGGTAAGCAGACAGAAAAGTGAAAACCAATTAAGAAAACTCCAGAAATCTGGGCATTCAACAATAGCAAACTGAACCTGTACAGTAACAACATTATAATACTAGTATACTGGATATTTAATCCTCATAGCAAACCAAGCTGGATGATTCTAACATACTAACAATAATGCAAAGGCAAAAGGGGACAGAAAATAAGGCTTGACAATTGATAGGTATAAAGAGCTACAGCTCAAAGTCAAAAATAATACCTAAATACTTGTACTAGCTGGATTTTCTTTCTAACAATAAATAAACATTGGGGGTAAGGAGTAGTACAGCAGAAAACATCACCACCTGTGAGGCTAGCTTCCCCACATGGGCACTGGTTTGAGCCTTGGTTTTCCACTTGTGGTTCAACTCCATGCTACTGGCATGAGAAAGACAGCAAAATGGCCCAAGGTTTGGGATCCTGTTTTCAGTCAGCCAATCACAAGCCACTGTAACCAGCTTGGGAATGAGCCAGAAAGCAGATGGAAGATTTCTGTCTCTTCTAATTCTTTCATATAAATGGACAAATCTTAAAAAAAAAAATCACAACAAATATTTACCTTACATTAACTATTACTTAACAGTAACCTAAATAGCAGTGACAATTTTAGATTAGGAAAAAATATCCACTGACTAAATAACCTAGAAACCGTGAAGAATGAGTTCACTATAGCTTTAACTAAAAATGAACATCTCATATTCAATTACAGAAAAAAAAACTTAGTTCAGAAAATTCTTTTGTCTTTTTTTTAAAATCCTTTTTCTTTCAGATTTCCTAGGTTAGTTCAGATGAACAATTTCACAATTTGGTTTGCAACCATGTTTAAGTTGTAATTCACTATATTCATTTTATAGTTTTTAAATATTTAAGATAGACAGCTCCCATTTACTGGTTCACTTCTCAAATACCCAAAATGGACCAGGCAGACCAGGAAAATGCCATGTGAGTGGCAGGACACTGGAGACAGAAATCCAGAACTAAACCAGGCACTCATATGTGGACACAGCTGTCTATGACCTCTGGGCTAAATGCCTGCTCCTTGCATCATACTCTTCAAACAATTGTAATCATGCTTTCCAAATGATACCCCAGATACAGAAAAAGAAGAGAATGTGAAAATAATAGTCTAACCCACTTTCCTGTAGCCCTTGAACCTTTATGCCCTAATTAACCATGTAAAGATTGTCAAAAATAAAGAAAAAAAGTATTTTTTAACATTCTGTTTTCTGTAATGCAGTCTGCTTCATGAAAAAATTTAAAATAAACATACATACACAAAGCCATTAAATGTTTCCTATTTAGACTTGTTCCTGTTATTAAGATTGATCTTATTTTCTGTAATTTTGCTCATTCCTGGAGAATAATCACTCTAAAATGTTTCTCTAAGGAAATACAAGTAAGAAGGGCAAAAATCTCTACCCCCATGGAACTTACAATATTGTGATGGTAAAATACTATAAGCTAATGAGTAGTAAATATAGAAACTACCAGAGTGCTAAGTACCCTAAAAATACAAGAACCAGTGTTTAAAGTTGTTATGCTTTGTCTATACAGTGCAAAACTGGAAGGAAAAATGTAGCCTAACTAAGAGATAAGGGTGGACAAGGCTTAAGTGGTAGGTCACTTAAGCTGGTTCACTCCCAAATGGCCTCAGAAAAACCAAGCGATTTGGATGATTTGGAAACAATTGAGAGACAGCACTGCCTTTGGTGTGGCACAGTACTAATAGCTAAAAACTCTCCTTGCATGCGCTGGGATCCCAGTTGGGCACTGGTTCCTGTCCTGGCAGTCCCACTATCCATCCAGCTCCCTGCTTGTGGCCGGGGAGAGCAGTCAAGGACAATCCAAGGCCTGGGACCCTGCACCAGTGCAGGAGACCTGGAAGAAGCTTCTGGCTCCTGCTTTCTGTCCGATAGTTCACTCTCCAAGTGGCTGCAATGACCAGAGCTGAGCCAATCTGAAGCCAGGATCTTCCTCCGAGTCTCCCATGTGGGAGGGCTGGGGCCTCCTGCCTTCTAATAAGCTTAGCTCTGCCCATTGTGACCACTTGGGGAATGAATCGGTGGATGCAAGATCTTTCTTTTTGTATACCTGACTTTCCAATTAAAAAAAAAAATCTTAAAAAAAAAAAAAAGCACTGCTTGACAAATGTATCAGAGGATGGCTCCAATGTTTTAAGAGCCAAGGCCAACAGAAAGGAAAGCAGTATCATTTATTGAGAAACACTTTTAAAAAGCAGAATTGGAATGAAAAGGAAACCAGATTTTCCATGTGCACATCTTTGGTGTATACCAACTAGACATACAAGTAGAGATGTTTTCAGGCAGCTAGCTAGCAGTTTAGGGAAGAGGACACACACACACACACACACACACACACACACACACTCCGGATCTCAACAGATCACAGAAGGCACTAAAGTCACATGACATTTAAAGGTGATTTCCTACTAAATTAGCAGAAATAAAGAAAACCAGACATCTATTTCCAGGACTGAGCCTTGAAGCTATCCTATACTTTCAGGGCTGAAGCAGAAGAATCAGAGAGGAAAGCAGAACTGCTTCGGAACTAGAGTTCTAGAAGCCAAAGATAGTATTTCTAGAAAGAGGCACTGATGAATTACCTCCAAAAACCCCACGGGTCAAGAAACTGACCAACTTGATTTTTAGGATGTTTTAGGTAATTCTAGCAGACATGGGCCCAAAGCTGCTGCTTCTTCCTATTCATGATTATCCAAAGGAAAGGCAAAGTCCTGGAGTCCAAAAGGCTACCGTGAAACAACTGCTTTCAAAGTCGGAAATTTGGCTTCTGAAGGGATTCCTGTTAGTTTCTGTCACAGAAAAATGTTCAGGAAAAAACTTTTTCTTCAAAATTCTCTGGATCTCACTCTATTACCCGTTAGCACATCACTGGTCTAGTACAAGTTGCTATAATAATGGAAACACCCGTTTTTTAAAAAGCTTTATTTGTATTTGAAAGGCAGATTTAGAGACAAAAATCTTCCACCTGCTGGTTCACTTCCCAAACGGCCTCAACAGCTGGAGCTGAGCCTATCTGAAGCAGGAGCCAGCATCATCTTTAGGGTCTCACACTGCACAGGTGCCCAAACACTTGAGCAATACCCACTGCTTTCCCAGGCCACAAGTAGGAAGCGGAATTAGAGCGGAGCAGCCAGGACATAAACTGGTGCCTATATGGGACACTGGCAAGGCAGGCTGAAGATCAGCTGGCTATACCACTTGGCCAGTCCCTGGAAATGCCCTATTCTACTCTATATAGTGTAGTCATGAGTCATACAGGTAGCAACTGAGCATTCTCAATGTGGATAGCACAGAGAGAATGAATTTATCTGAGCCGATTTTAATTAAAAACACATGCTGACTGGCTATACGGGGCCTCACCGTTCTAGCACTTAATTATGGAAAACATATAATACCAAATGATATACACTAATTTGCAAGTAACTTGTATCTTGTCTTGATAGCTATCCTATTTATTTTTATCTTAAAATTTTAAAATTCATTAAGTTATTCCTAGGTACAAGCCTATCTCGATGGCATTCATTTATCTGCCAAAGAATGATATTAACAAACCTACTGCAAGGGGATTGTAGAGAACATTAAAAGACTTTCAATGTGCCAAACATTGGACACATAATGGTGTTTAGTAAATGTCAGCTATACTCTGAGCCTTCTGATTTGCTCTTTGACTTAGGAAAACTCTGGTTGTCTTACTTTATTGGCTTGTTATAGCTTTTGCTATGATCATTTTCTATATTACATGAACTATTCTTTGTAGTTCTTAAGAATTGTGTTAGAATTTTCATCTTATTTTCCCCTATTGTGGGGCTACTTCTAAACCTCTATACCTATTAGCTTCTAAAGAACTAATACTTGGCCCTCAGCTAAAGGCAACTGCCTAGGTTGCCTTGTACTTGGCCAAGTGATACAAGCTGGGAAAAAATCAGCCATTAGCTGGCAGGCATTCTAGGGCTGGTTAAGCCCAAATTTGTGTGTAAGCTATACCAGCCCCCAGGTGGATAGGCTGCCCACTGCCCAGACATACTGGAGTGGGAGGAGCTGAGGGATGTGTCAAGGGAAGGAATGACTTCTGGGGTCTGCCACAGATTGGACCACCGCACTTGTAGGGAGATGAAATTGAGTGGTTTAGAAGGGGAAATGGCAGAGCATGTCTAGGTCAGGCCAAGGCACCCAACCACATGGGAGACCTGGACTGGGCTAAAGAGCATCACCTGCCTCCTGCTGGCACATGCAAAAGCTGGGGCAGAAAGAGGGGCAGGCCTGGATGGGCTGTAGCACCCACAGGAACCTGAGAAACCCGGATCAGGGGGCATATCTAGGGGATCTGTGGTCTTGTCTCTATGGGACTGCAGCAACCACTGCAGTATGTAAAGTGCTAGGATTGGTGATGGGGTGAGCCAGAACTCACCTGACACTCATGGGAGCTGGGAATGGGAGGAGGCTGGGCAGGGTCAGGCTGTAGCACCTGCCAGCACATGCAAAGGCCAGGCCTGGGCTAGGCAAATGCCCAGACTGGGAGTTAAGACATGTAAAGCTTGGCCACAGTATCCTGTGAGGTGATAACTGCTGACACACATGAGGGTCTGGTCTGCCGCCAGTTGGGCTGAACTAAGCTGTACCACCCATGGGTATGCATTAGAGCCAGATGGGATGTGGGACCAGCAAGGCTAGACTGTAGCAGAGCCTGCCATGCAAAAAAAAATCAGGGCTGGGGGTGGGTCTGGTGGGGCCAACTCAACTAGACCACAGCATCCGGATGCTGGTATGTATGAGGACCATGTCTGAGGCAGTCTGGTTGGACTGGGCCGCAGCATCTATTAGTTCCCTTGAGGTGTGGGGCCAGGACAGAACTGACTGAGCAGCTGACCCTGCTGCACTGCACTGCCTGGCACACACAAGAGTCAAATCTGAAGTCACCCCAGCCAAAGTTCCATGGGGCACTATCCAATAAAGACCACTGGATTCAGACCCTGGCCACAGGGAAAATCACAGGATGCGTGGTCCAACCTTGGAGTGCATGTGTCAGGACTGGGCCTCCTTAGTTGCTGATGTACATGTAGTGGACAGCATGCCCAGATGCACAGGGGCACACAACAGCCAGCTCATCCAGGCCAGCAGGGGATTATCGACTGCCTTGTTAGAGGATGGGAAGAACAGGTGGGACAGCTCTCTTGGTCAAGCTTTGTAGCAAGTTCCTAGGTCTGTGGATACACTAAGGTGGACTCTGTCAACCAGTAAGACCTTGGAACACTACTTCCCCAACATGGGGGTCCCTAGGGCATCATCCAAGGACAACCCCCACCCCTGAGTGCTGCTGCAATTTAACAGCAAGGAACAGCCCTCTCCCCTTCCTTCCCAGCAGACACTGGAGAAAAAAATTAACATGTGCTCCACACTCCTCCTTCCTCCATACCTGAACCTCCTCACTCTAATCAGAGCCCCACATTGGGCATGCATTCCTCTGAATCATTTAACAGTAAAGAAAACAAAAAGTTAAGAAACAAAAACACTAATATCTAGGCCAGTGCCACAGTACAGATTAAGCTTTTGCCTGTAGCTGTGCTGGCTGCTGCACTTTCTACCTAGTTTTCTGCTCATGGCCTGGGAAACCAGTAGAGAATGATCCAAGACCTTGGGCCTCTGCACCCAAATGGAAGACTCAGAAGAGTCTTCTGCGTTTCAGATCAGCTCAGCTCTCTGGCTATTGTGACCATTTGGGAATTGACCAGCAGATGGAAGATCTCTTTCTCTGTAAATCTGTCTTTCAAAAAAATTTTAAACATTTATTTATTTTACTTCAAGGTGAAAATGAGAGAGAGAGAGGGGGGGGGACCAATGCAACCACTCAATTGGCTAATCCTGTCTCCCAAGCTCCAGCATTCGATATGGGTGGTCTGGCTGCTCCACTTTGCATCCTGCTCCCTGCTGTCACTTAAGAGACCCAAATGAAGCTCTTGATCCGACTTTGGATTGACTCAGCTCCAGCTGTTGGGGCCATTTGGGGAGTAAACCAGCAGAATTTCCTACTCCTCTCTAAAACTGCCTTTCCAATTAAAAAAAAAAAGTCTCAAATGTATCCCCCCAAAAAACA